TCTGGAATCTAATATGAATCTAATAAAACACGTTTGTTTATAAATGTACACATTAACAATTCATAAATTATACATAGTAAAAGCTGCATTAGCATCAAGTTATATACTTTGCAGCATTTCTTTCCTGGCAGATTTCTTGGCTTTAAAAATGATAAAATCATAAGATCGTCCATGTCACAAGAGAGGCTCACTGAGGAGTTTGGCTGGTTTTAAAATAATGGAATAATAATAATATTTGTACATATTATAGGTAATAAATACATGTTCAGGTCTTCAGACAAGGAGGACCTGGAAGCTGCATGTCTACAAGCTAAACTCAAGCTAAGCTGTCCACAGTTGTCAAATAGTGTTTTGGTGTATTTACCTAAATCTGAAATATATATAAACAAAGGCGCTTGTTGTTTATTTTTCTTAGTTGTTAACGTAGTAGGATCCTGATTTAGATTTTATTTTTATAAGATGGTTATAGAGCAGACATTGTCTGAAATGCTGCTATAGGCTTCTGCTGCTGGAGGACATGGGGACCACTTTACAGTGTTTTGCTTCTTCTCTCTTTATTCTCTAATTCTGCAGTATTTGTTAGTTTAACCTGTAACTTTATGTTCTATCTACTCTTTTTGTCATAGTAGCTCCACCTGGTCTGTTCCTGTTTGGCTGTGACACCAACCTGCTGTCTGTGTGTGTCTGTTTAATCTTGTTTTCTCCTAGACATGGCTGTAGGCAAACCTTTTGCTGTGACTAACTGTATGTGCTCTCTGTGATACATTTGACATGAAATCTAGCTCAGAGCTTGTTTGCTTAACTGTTTCTTTCCTAGACAGAGCCACCTATAGAGCTATTGTTTAAAGTTACATTTTCTAACAGACTGTTCATAGATCAGTGCTTCTGTGTGTTCATTCTGCACGTCTGCTTCTGTGTTTAAAGTAATGTAAAACCAAAAGTATTTGTGAATAAATTTCAACATTCTAGACGTATTCAAGCATCCCACTTGGAAGGATTGAGGGGAAAAGTTCCCCGTAAGTCCTTAACCCAACATAAAAGGAGTAAACACTAGATAAAAGCACCAGAATAGATTTAAAAGGACATGTTTTACACTGGCAGTGGAAGTCTGCGGATATCAGAACCAATGGAAAAGGATAGCTCCAGTGTTTGGAAGCCACCGCAGAAAAAGTACTCTCTTCTTTTTTATAATTAGAATAACAGTTAGTTTAGAATTTACCAGTGGTGTCAAAAGTTCACACATTTGTTACTTAAGTAGAAATATAGATACTGCAGTTTAAAAACACTCTATTGAAAGTTGAAATAAAAACTTGACCTCTTTATTCAAGTAAAAGTGAAAAAGTATGTGCTCCAAAAACTACTTAAAGTATAAAGTAACCTTTAAAAAAAAAAAACACCCAGATGCCACTATATGAATTGAAAGCTACATTTTTCAACTATTTCGAAAAATTCCTTGAGATAGGATGAGGGAGGTCGTGTTGGTCTCCGTCTCCCGACCTTTTCAGACATTTCACGTCTTTTTCTTAATCTCTTACACCCTAAGGGG